GAACTTGAAAGTTCATCTGACATAGGTGAAACGCAGCCACACTGTGCTTTTGCAGCTTTTCCGCATAGTTTCATTGGGAAAGGGAAATATATAACGAGAATGATCGACTGTAGCCAAAATGAAGTTAAAGGTAGTCTCATCAAACTCGAAAGCAAAATTCGAACGAAACTTTTGCCAAAGCTGACTGGTAGAGTATCACCAAGAGACATTGAAAGATCTGTGCTAGAGCTTCCAGTAAGACTGGGTGGTTCATCAAACCAGAAACAAACGCCGCTCAGAAATTAAAAGAGTCCGAGAGAATCTGTAAACCTCTTGTTGGAAAACTTTTGTCAGGCGATACCGATTTACACGGAATTGCAAGTAGGCAGAAACGAGCATCTTCTGAAATATAGAAGAAGATCGAACAGCGGGCGGAAAGAAAGAAAGCTGTTGTGTTGCAATCGCTTGTCAGTACTCCATACTCCAGATCATTTGAACTGGCTACCGAAAGAGTCGCGTCAAACTGGCTCACAACGTTGCCGTTAGAAAAACATGGTTTTTGCCTGAGAAAAGCAGCTTTTTCGGGATGTACTGTGCTTGCGTTAAACGTGGCTGCTGAAAGATGTTCCTTCTGTCTGTATTTATAAAAAAACGTTCTCAGTTGAATCGTGCTTGTCTTGTCCTACTGGAGGTTTCCCAGCTACTCGGCATAATGAAGTGAGAGACATAAAAGCGAGCAATAATCAGGCGAGTTTTTAGCTTTGAGAACATAAATAAAGGGCGATGGAGGGCAGCTTGATATTTCAATCAAGGGAATCTGGGGAAGCAGATTTGAGAAGGCATTCTTCGATGTAATAGTGTGCAACCCTTGCGCCAAATCATCCTTCTGGTACTCTACCAATATGTACAGGAAGCACGAAGTGGAAGAAAGATAAATTATGAGCCGCGTGTAACATACTTCATTCACACCTCTTGTTATTTCGTGCATGGGTGCATGGGAGGCATGGGCAAACTTGCTACCACGTTTTACAAAAGGCTTAATTCGATGATCAGAGAAAAAATAACAAAAAACCTCGTATTGTCAAGTGCATTGGTGGATTCGATGTCAACTTGGATTGCGCTTCTCAGTTTTTTGATCATGTGTATCCCTGGATCCCGTTCATAATATTGGAGACCGACGCAAGATTGTTTTCAGCAAAAATTTCTTGAAGTGCGCTCGATGGACATCAATTAAAGTGCATAAATGTTTCTTTTACGATATCTTTTAGCTGCTGTAATTTGTTCAAATGTGACGTCACCACTACAAAATATGGATATGAAGATAACTTCAATGCACCTGAAGTACCACCCACCTTGTAATTTGATGTTTACGATGTGAATGGAGTTGATGTTTATGAACCAGGAAGCGAATGTTATTAGTTCAATCCTACTGATTTTGATAACTCAGCTGATGGAGGCAATAATTAAATTTTGTGTAGTCCATAGTTCTACTGTGAAGTGAAACAAGCTCTTTAACCCTTGTTATTTCATATAAGACTCAACTTCTAAAGCTTAAAATTTGTTAAAATCAGCCTTAAGTTCATAATTTGCGAACATTTTGGTTTCAAAAGATATTCGAGACAAAATATAGGACATTCGAAATACTCAGAGTTGGCCACGATACAAGCTACTAAGTTCATTTGACTGTCAAAAAGAGCGATTCAAAATATGTGCTCGGAAAGGTTTTTTATCCAGACAAATATCGATTTTTCAACTAGCATAATTTGAAATTTTTTTTTACTAGTGAAAAGGTATTGTTGAACCGAGCTCAAATTTTAATAAAAATATTTCACCTGTGATTATTTAATGTTAAACTGGGTTTTAAATAGTGATAAAATGGCCATTTAAAGCGAAAGTTTTTTCGCGTTATTAATGCTTGGCGAAAATTTAATCCAGCTTAGAAATTTTTCTAACCTGAATGATGCAATCAAGTTTTCATAATTGCTACGTTACCAGGAGCAAAATCCGTCATTTTGTTATTAAAGAAAAAAAATTTTGAAAAATTTCTTCAGTTTTTAGAAATTGAATTGCTTCATAGACCTTAAAAGGCAGTCGGAACATTCAGGGTTTTGTACAAGCAGTTTTGTTACAATCTAGAGACCAATAAGAAAAACAGAAAATATAAGCTCTTTAATTATCCAATCCAATTTTGGCAAAATATCGAGAAAAAAAAATTGCACAAAAGCCAAAAAGTCTGATCGATGTTTTGAGAACAAGCAAAATTTCGAAGCGCAAGACTAAATTATATGTTAAAATTAACAACAGTCGGCTGCTGTGCAAGTAGGACAAATTTTTTCCAATTTGTTAATTTTGGAAGAATAAACATTCTTTAAAAATTCTTTTACAAATCTTTTTTAATAGTTTTTTCTATTTGATTCAAGTTTTGTTGCTATTTGTTTTGTTTTGTTCTGGGCGGATGAGGACAAAATTTATTGTACGAGAGTTGTGGGCGTCTTCTCTAAACAATTACTAAAATCCAAAAAAAACGAAGGACAACCTATGATATAACGATTCAAACCCTTTGATGGTCTTGTCGGGTAACTTCAGTATATACAGATCATCTCATCATAGTAATTTGATGAAGTAGGCTTTTATTGCGAGCCTAAAAAAAATCAGACCGACATAATAATGTAAAAATATTAATCATTCCATTTTAGAATGATTTTTCATGTAATTTTGTTTTTTTCAGACAATCTTGAAACCCAAAACTGGTCTGAAAAATTGGTTTTCAAAACAGTTTCAAAAGTCATTTATTCATTTTGAAATAAAATTGTCGGCCTGACTTTTCTGCAACAAATTAAACTAACTTGCAAGAAGGTTAATAGGGTGAAAAAACAAAAAAATCTACATGTATTGATATTTTGCCCGGCGTAGAGCTGTTTTGATAAAATTAATTAAACCCTCAAAACAGACTATGAAAACAAGAAAACAGACGTTGATATTTTTTGTATTGTTAATAGGAATAACAAAACAAAAGCAAGTCCCTGCGTAGTGCTGTTTTGATAGAATTAATCAACATGTACTAAATTATCTCATCATTGTCGAGACGGCTGTGGCAAAAAGTTTTTGCAAATAACAGTGTTTTTGTTTCGACTATTTTCGAAAAAAGAATGATGGAAAATTTGTGCTCGGCGTTGTTTTTTTTCTATTTATCTTTTTAACTAACAATTTTTGACAAAATAAATTGAACTTAAATTTTTTCCTGAGCTCAAATTTCAGAACATATTTCAACTGTGATTTTTTTTGTCAAGGTATAGGGGTTTAAAGATTAACAATTTGGGGTAATTAACGCGCGATATAGTTCATGCTAAAAACTCGTGAGAGGAAATTTAACCCATTTTATTAATTGTTCCGAATTGAAGTGAGGCATGCTATTTGATCTGAGTAACACTTTGCTATTTGCGAAATATATCACTTTGTAATTTACGTAGCGTGTACGGGATGATTATCAAAAAAACCTCAAAAATTGTTTGAAATTTTTTTTTTATCTCAAATTTCCATTTTTAAAGCAAACAGTTCTTGATAGACTTTAAAACGCTGTTTTGTTGAGATGTTCCAACTTTTGAAGTAAATAAACCGATACGATTTTGCTAAATTCAGTTTTCGTTCTCATGTGTAAGCTTGACAAAGTAAAAAAAAATTTACGGTAAAATTTAACTATTTAATCTTGAGATATGCACAACAGGAGAGGAGGTAACATGTTTTATATTAACATTCAAGAGCAGGGGCGGATTTGGGGGGCGGGGGTTGGGAAGGGACATTCTTTGATATTTCGAAGGGTGTCTTTTTTGGAAGTATTTCAGCACTCTCCTCACTTTTTTCAGAATTTTGATTACTTTTGGCTCTTTTTTTCAAAAAGCGTACTTGACAACAGTATATTCTAGTTTTGGAGGGAGAATGCCCGTCCAAAACGAAAAAAAAAATTTGGTCAAAATTAACAATTTTAGATTTATTTTACCAAAACTTTAATAATTTAATAACCAAGAGTATATTAAAACACCATCCCCCCGAGCGTAACTTAAAAAAAACTAGATCCGCCCCTGATTAAAACATCGAAGCTATTTAAACACAATAATTCACATCGTCTCTGATTAAATATCTTTTTTTTGAGCAAAAATATTGCACTATTCAAGGTACATTTAACAGCTGTTGGTTTTGAACAAGTAATTACGAAATGCAAATCGAATATCACGAATTGAGATATCAAAATATTCGCAGCTGGAATAGCAAAAGTTTTATAAATAAGCACAGCGTATCCTGGAACTATATTCATGGTAATATCAATATACAGGTACTGTATACTACAATGTGGTTAGATAATTAGAGCTAGAAGCTTCCATTGCAGAAGCTTTCCCTCTAACCCTCCCTTTTTGTTATTTTAAAAATAATTGAAAACTATATTACTTCCTTTTGTGGAAAAAAAAACTGTTTTGGAAACTATTTTGCCACGTCCTACAGTAATTTTTACTTTTTGTGGTATTTTTAGAAATGTTCAGTCAATTTTTTTTTTACAATGATATTTGAGAATTTTTTCAGGAATTAGCATATTCTTTTCATACCTCCAAGCTCCTTAGTGATCTTTTTCTTCTTCTCATTAGCGGAAGTTATCGTTTTGACAATAATTTTGCTCCATCTCGATAAACTAGATGGAAAATTGTTTTCATTGGACCACGTGAGCCGGAAGCAGAGCCTATGGAAAAATAGCTCACTTCAAGCAAACAGCAGACGACAAATAAAAAGACCTTGTTTGTCTGTTGTTGATTTTTGCCCAAAGCTTCAAGGCGGAGAAAACCAATTAAGTAAACAAAATGTTTTTATGGAAATGCGGTAGTTTTTATTCGGTTTCGTCCGAGAGGAGGGGTAACGATTTTTATCTGGGAATACTTGCGACAAAAATGCTTCGATTGATTAAATTGTTAAAATTGATAAATGTTCTTGCTAGAACACTGATTTGTTAAAGCAAAATGGAGATTAAAACCTAAACACATTGCAATTGAAAGTCCTGATATATCGAAAAAAAGTTCTGCATAATAATCAAGACCTTGTTGAAATTAAGCTTAAAACTAAAGTTAGAACTAAATTTAGCAACATTGAGTGACAAAAATTAAAATTATTCATTGTTCCATTTTTTGAGCTTATAGCACTCTTAATTTGGAATCGTTTTTAAAAAAAAATACTCTTAATGATGATTTGCAGCACAATGGCAGTTGATTCTACCATGTTTAAGGGTGAGGATATCATTGCTGATACTAGCAGCATCAATAGGTCGATTGAATTCTTAGCCTACTAAACAACTGACTGATGACTCCCAGGTAAGTCCGGGTCACTGCCTACGTCTCGTACGATTGAGTGTAGTGAAACCGAGGGTCCCAATGCCAGATGCTGATTGGATGTCGAGAAGGTAGACTGTAAATGCAGTCGGCTGTTCAGATTGTCGACCGAGACGTGGGAGACGATCTCGGGTCCACCGCAGCTTCGCTCCGAGTCAGATTTAACCTAAGCAAATGCTCCATTTTTACTTATATGTACAACTCAGAAAGAGAAATCAAAAATTGAGACAGAATTCTTCAGGCCGCAAAAAAATTTTAATTAAGCAAAAAAATCAGCCAAAAAATTTGAGCCAAAAATGTCACTTTGGACCTTTTTTAAAATTGTTTTGACCTTTGGACCTTTTTTTAAAGAATTTCCTCAAACCAACTTTTCGGCACACGTCAAATTTTTACTTATTGGCGCCGTTAAAAAAATATTGAGGTTAACTACTGACCGTTGTTTTAATAAAAGGGCGGAATAAAAAAAGACAATGATTTGCTCAAGTAATGGCTAAACTTACCCATTTTTTGGACCTGTGCTTCAGCAGAATAAATATGATTGGGTTGACGACAGCATTGAGATTTAGCAGGAAGAAGGCCACACTTGCAAAGTAGGGCAGGAATGGTCTGAAATGTATGGACTTGAGCAGTCCCTGTCCATTGAAGAATATGTCACTGATGGTGGACATGAGCTGGTAGTTGTAGAATGGAGTGTAGCACACGAACACTGTTATGGCCAGAGTGATCGCGTATCTCTGGAGGAACTTGTCCTTGGACAGGAAAGAGGTGCATTTCTGGGTTGCAGATCCAGGGCAGTTGCGATTGTTCGAGATGGAGAAGATGCCGCTCGGCGCTCGTGAAGCGGCTCTGTGGCCATTGGGTTGCAGCAACGGTTGCTGAAAAATTAGAAGTACAATCAGCCGAAGGTAGAACTGACAGAAAGCAAGACTTTGGAGTGGATATTTGATAGTCGGGTAGATTCACACCATACTCAATGTTATGATTTAAAATTTAAAATGACTAGAAGAAGTACAATGGTTTGAGCGAGGTTGAAAAAATAGATTTCCGAAGCTCTCTTAAAGACACTTTTGGCACCGCAGGCACATTTTAGAAATTGCTTATTTTTTGGCACTTTTGAATGTTTTTTTTTGGGCACGCTTTAACCCAAATAATTTTTTTCGTAGTGGTCCTTTATCGTTTTTTTTTTTCGGAACATTTCTATATGGCATCTAAAAAACTAAGTATTGCAATTAACTGATGAACTCAAAGTATTGACCAATAATCCAATTGACATATAAGAACTCAAGTTATTGAATATCTGAAATGAGTCATTAACTCACCTGGGCGGAGCTTTCAGCGTCATCCGGTGCAGTTCGGAGGATCCGAGGTATCTGACTATTATTGATGTTGTTGTTGTTGATGTTGTTGTTGTTGTTTTTCTCGGGCGTGTGTTCGGACATGGCGCACGACTTGACGGAGACGGAGTCGCCCGAGGCACTCTGCTGTCTCAAGACGGGAGCGGACGCGTGGGCCTGGGACATGGGGCTTGGTTCAGGCGCTGAACCGGAAACATCAGAGACTTTGTTCATTCGTCTGCCCCGTTCTAGAAAACACATATGGGCTATTTTTACCCTTATGGGAATTCTTATGTAAAATTTTAAAAACAGTCAAACTGCTCATTTTGAAGCAAGATTTTGAGCTCAATCGTCTTAAAAAACCGCTCAAACCGCTCAAATCTTGCTTCAAATTCGATGAGATTGGGTAGCTAAGCGAATAGTAATCACTGCAAAAAATAGAAAGCAGGAACTCTTCACATTTTTTTTCTTTTTTTTTAGCCATTTTTAGAGGCAAGAGAGAGATGAAACTTGAAACAAGGCGCTTCTTAAATTAACTAAAAATAGAAAAACAAATAGCGACATCAGAAGTTTCCACTCTCCTGGGGTTAAATTAGACTGAACAAAACTTCAATCTAATTAGCAAAAAAATGTTCCAGGTCACAGAAACTCCTTAAAATATCTTTTGGACATATGAGCCACATCTGAAAAAAAAAAATGATGGAATATTCAGTCACCCTGAATCAATTAAAGTTTGTTTAAGGAAATTGGTATCAGACGGAAAAGAAGCGTATATGTCATAATTTCCTTCCTTCTTTTTTTTCGAATAAAAAATACAAAATAAATTATCTGTTAACAGAATCTCACTTAAGAAGCTAACTTTCTCGAATCAGTTTTCTTCATCCTTTTTGGAGGCGACTTTGTCTCTTGAATTTATCTCTTTCGGTAAAAGATGATTCCGATTCTTGCAAAAGCTCAAACCAGCCGGCATACATCGAATACAAACTGCGATTGCATTTGGTTGAAAAAGCGCCTAAAAAATGCTGAAAAAGTTTGGTTTTTTTGCCAAAAACTGCTGAAAAATTAGTATGAATTATGAACAAAAACAGGTGTTAGGTTTTAAAAGTAAATTCATTAAAAATTAGTTCAGTTAGTTCATTAAAAAATTTTCCCAACAGAGTAGAATTTTTTCTGTAGCTTCAGCTTTGAAATCAAATCAGGGCTAAAAGCTGTTTTCTTTGATACCTCACTCAAACACATAAGGGAGCAAAAGTCGCGGGAGGAAACAAATGGTCTCTTGTGCCTGAATAAATTGTTTGCTGCTAATCTGAAAAGCTCAAAAAGTTTTATTGAAAAAGCATAAAACCGATATTTCCTAATTGTTGCCTGTTCCTAGTTGTCCGAACACGTCAAAATTATGAGCTGGTATACCGTTCAAACTTAATTTAGAATCTTCAATAATTTTTTTTTCAGTGTTTCGCCCGCACAATTATCTTCTATTTTTTTTCGCGCGTTTTTCTGTTTTTGTGTTTTTTCACCGAAAATCAATCTGTTCATGTGTTATTTCACCGAGTTTCAAAAAAAATTGAGTTTCAAAAAAAATTGAGTTTCAAAAAATCTCAGACCTTTGTTCTATGCCTATAATATGGGACCAAAAAAGACCCATATTTTTCTTCGCTGCAGCAAACTATAAGTCTTTTTCGTCGCAAAACCTATCAAAACGCGTTTTCAGAGTTTTTTTCAAAAAATGTATTTGGTAGTGAATTCATGATAATTCTTTGTTTTACTGTTTTTGAGGTATTAGTGTTTTAACAAGTTAAAATTGGTCATTTTGTCATCGGAAACTTTTGATTGGCACTATTGTATTTTAAAAAAATGAGAAAACTTGATAGACACCATCCATTATAAAAATACGAGAAAAGATGATGAAAAAAGCTTTTTTTTTCTAAGTCATTACTAAGACTTCAGGATCAATTAGGAACTTATCGCGAGACTAAAGAAAGCTGAAAATTGAGCAATCAAACGGCTTCGAAAAGGAACTTTTGTGTATTTTAACTCTCTGTCGAGGAAACAGCTATAAATAAATAATTAATCCAATTTCAATTTTAGCTTTTATCAGTTTTCAGTTAGTAAAACTAACTAATTGAATTTTTGAAGGTTAAAAAAATTACCTTGTCTCCTGATACATCAATTGCAAATGCTGTTACATCAATTGCAATGATACATCTTTTTACTTATTTCCCCACAACTTCTCAAAAGGGCAAAAGTTATAGTTTGATTGCGTTGATGAAGCTATGCTTTAGCGATATGTTCAATTTCACGCAATCAGATTAGAGCATTTTTTATTGTGTTTTTGAATTTTGGTTTTTGCAAATTTGGACGAAATAAAGGAAAAAATACACAAAAAAAACAAATACCAATTTTTGTGAAATTAAAAGAGAAAACTTCGAGAGCGAAGAAAAACGAAATATTGAAAAAAAATTCTGTCAATTGAAAAGGAGGTAACAAGTTTTTAAAATAAACAACGGCTGCGTACCCAAAAAAAATTGATGCACAGAAGGCATTTTTTAAAAATTATTTACTGGTTTCATCAGTACTTTTTAGAATCTATCTTCATTGAAAACTATAGTTAAGTTTTTAAAACTAATTTGCATTCAACCATAACAGTTGAATCCATAAGTTCACAATAACATTGAGTTAACATTCAACTAGACATTTACCAATAGTCGGTAAAGATTTTTTGAATTAGTGTCGGATGTTTTTTTTCATTCAATCAATGTTCAATGTTTTAATTAAGCATTGCAAAAAAACTATTCCATTTAAAAAGTTTTGTTATTTGAATTACAAACAAAAACACTTACTTTCGATTACTTTTTTTGAAATATGGCAGTTTGAAAATTGCTAGTTTGGCTAACTTGGGATGATTACCGCGCGATATATTGTGTTCTTAGAGCACGCGTAAGAATCAGATTAAATCGTTCAAAATCAATTGAAGCAAACACAGTCCTCTCATTAGAAAACTAGACGTTAAATTCATATCTATAGCGTTTAAGGGGATAAATGGAAGAAAAATTAAACAAATAATCAATTTTCTAACCCGTTAGCTTCAGAGGACTTCTGCAATGTGGTTCCAACATTCGAAGTTAATGACGGAATATTTGTGCGTGTTTTTTTTTCAATTGACTTTTTAACCTAACTTTTTTGAACTTGTTATACCTCATCTTGATTTAAAAGTTAAAAAAAACGTGGTCATTTTTCTGAAAGTTTTGGGGGTGTGGATAGAGGCAAATACGCTAAAACGGTACAATTAAAAAGCAAGATATTTCGTGCTATCATATTGTATACGGCAAAATAAACAGCTTCAAATTGAATTGATGCAAGCAATTTGCACTCACTATTGTTCGGATTTTGATGCAAGCAATTTGCACTCACTATTGTTGGGATTTTAATTATGCTCAGGTCAGTTTTTCTTTTTCATGACAAATTTTTTAACTAGCCATTTTCTGCGCGATTTTTTATACCAGCAAAAGTAATTGATGTCCTTAGCTCAAATTTTAAAAAAAATGCATGTTCATCTGGATTACGTTTTCGAAAAGTTTTGCTGGTTTGAATGTTGACAATTATGCCAAATTTGGAGAATTAACGCGCAAGATTTTTTGTGCTGATAACCCATAAGGGTTTATCTAATCTGCTCGTAAATTTTTTCCAGCTGAAAAATTATTTTAATATTTTTTTAGATGACATTCTCAAAATATGTTTCAAAGACATTGAAGGGCAGTCGTAACATTCAGAGTGGTGCCCTGATAGGAGCAGTATGTTTTGTCTCTGCAATCTCCCCTCTTAAGGAAAAAAATTTTAAAACAACCTTTAATAGGACTGCTTGTATCAATGCGAAGTTTTGAATGTTCCGACTGACTTTTAAGGTATATAGAAAAGTGTCAATTTTTTAAATTTGAAGCAAATTTTATTTTAAACAAATGAAAAAAAATCAAAAATGTTTGAGTTTTTTTAAAAATTTTCCTCTTACACGCTATACAAAATACAATTGAAGTGTTTTGCAAAAGTGATTTTTTTGCATACATTAAATAAGTAAATAGATTAAACGACATGCCTCATTTCAATTTGGAACGATTGCTAATCTCCGCCTAATCAATAAAAGCACAGAATATATCGCTCGTAAATTCCCATTATTTTTTTAAACAAACGAACACAGATAAGTTAAATTTTTACTTTTTAAATTTAAGCTCAATAACAACAATACTTTTCTAATAATAAAAAAATTCGTCGAAATTTGCTAGGTAAAAAGCTGAATTTGTCTGGAAAAAAAACACCCGCGCACAAATTTTCTGCCACTTTCTTTGAAATTCGGAACAATGAAGATCTTGAAGCAAAAACTGATTTTTTATTGAGAGTTGCTTATCAAGCTCACGAAGGACTAGTTTATTATGATTTTTTGTCTGCTGTTCAAAGCAATGTTCAAAGCAACACATTTCAGTTCATCAAGCTGACTCAATTTTTGTTCCTTAAGGTTGAGTCAATACTACAGAAAAACACGGACCTTTACTACTCTTTGGTAATAAATTACAAGGTTGCAGATGTAATTTCACCAAGCAATTTTTTTCCTTAATGCGCCCATGTAAATTTGTTTTAATAAGGATAATAATACTCTTGATTTCGTTCAACAAAATTGTGTTGTCGTAGCCTTGCTGTTTAGGGCATTTTTTCCAAGTTTAATTATTGGAATGGCCATAAAACTCCCTGAAGTAAGAAAAGATCTGTTTGTTTTCCTAAAATGAGGGCGAAAAAGTCATTAAAAATTGATCTAGATACTCGATTCGAGTCTATGAATACCTATTTTCTCGACTCAGGGGAAATTCACGTGGGCTGTAAAAAGAAATGTTATGAATAAAATTAGCAATAAAAAGATGTCATTTCCCAACTGATGGTAAACTATTTCCCTTTCAGAACATTGTGGGAGAACTTTTGCTTGCGGGGGATTTCTTAGAATAGTTAATATTAGTGCTAATTAGGATCGCCTAACTGTGAAGCTGCAACGATTCTTTCCGGTTTTAGGTCAATCTCTACAGAGCTAGCTCCGGGAATTTAGGGACAAAATAATCTCTATTGCTTTAAAAAAATCTGCATAAATAGCTTACGAATTATGCATTCAACCATTAAAGTTTACGGCAGTCGAGATATAAATAACCAACCTTCATATTTTTCTACCATCAGTGACAAAAAGTCTTTTTATCCGATGAACAGTTAGATCACCGCAGAAAAAAATTGAGGTGAAGCATAAAAGTTAAAAGTTGCACCGAAGGTTTGCACACGTCTAGTTTTTCAGTGGTTTGAGCCGAGTTCAAACAGTGCTAACGGTTGAACTTATACGTGATCAAATAATTATCTCAACACGATATCAAATAACTCGTCTAGTATTTTTTGTGAAAGCAGCTTGTGAGTAATTATTAGCGCTGACTGTAAGATGATACGCGTGAACCGATGATCAAATCGGCGATTTCGAAAAATTTTTAAAAAGTGTTTTTCATTTAAAAAACATTGCAAAAAAGTGCCAAAAAAACTATGCGAGAAACTTTGCAAAAAGTTTTACAACAAAATTCGAAAATTTTCTGTGAAAATGCAAACTACAAGTATAACATTTGAGACTCTAGAGAAAACATATATGATAAATGCGTCCCATCAAGTTTAGACCGACCGACCTTAAAAGTTGAAAAATCAACCTGCCGACCAAGCTCGAAAAGTCAATTAGGTCAACTGAAGAATAAGCTCGATTTTCTAGACAAATTTCGCATCAGCAAAACCCTCCCCTCCCCCCCCCCCCCCCCCTCCCGCGAAAATCATAGATCCGCGCCTGCTAGAGGCACTTCAAACGTTTAAGCCATCGTCTCACCTTCCTCAATCACGACAACTGTTCTCGACTCTTCCAGCTGCAGATTGGTGCGACCAGTGCCGCCGACGCCACGACTGGAGTTGCCGGCAATTCGTGCAGACAACGCACTCGGCTGGAGCGCAGCAGTCGTCGTCGTCTGCTCTCCGTTCGTAGCTTCGTTTGCCAGTCTGGAATTTGTTGCAATGGGAGATGTTAAGTGTTGGGGTCTGATGTTCAGCTTACTTTGCTTCTGCTTTACGGCTATGTACTTGACGAACTTGTAGTAACACCAGAGCACTGCGCCAGTAGGGATGACGTAATTGGCCACGTAATTGATGACTATGAACCCAGACCACACCTTCACGTCCCTGGAAAAAAACAGAACCCTTATCAGAAAAATAATCAACAACTAAAAACGCAAGGACGGGAAAAAGAGGGAGAGTAGGAAAGTGAAAAGTTAAAAGTTCAACTAAAACGGTGTGTGGGGGGATGATTTCCACAAAATATCTTAAAAATTGTTTAAAAGAAATTTCATTCCATTTTTATTACATTTAATTTTTTCATATTATTACTGCTTCATAGACCTCAAAAGGCAGTCGGAGCATTCAAAGCTTTGCCCTGTTACGAGCAGTCTTGTAATCACTTTATTTTTGAGAGATGAAAATTGGTCTACCTTTAGCATTATTCGCTTAAGATATACAAAACTGCTCGTATCAGGGCGAAACCCTGAATGTTCCGACTGCCTTTTAAGGTCTATGGAGCAGTAATAACATGGATTTTTTTTTAATTTGAGATTTTTTGTGAAAATTACCCCCCCCCCCCCCCCCCCACCTCACGTCATAAAAAGTACAAAGTGATAGATTTCGCTCCTAGTAACAAACCAATTATGGCAAATAAGCTTTCTTCAGCCAATTTGGAACGATATCTACGAAGGGTTTTATCTCCGCTTTCGATTTTTTAGCGCGAAATATATCGCGCGTTATTTGTCCCAAATTGGCCAAAGTTGCAATTCTTAAACCCTCATAACTTTACGAAAAACGATCACAGAAAAATTATCTTTATCAAATTTAAGCTCAGAACAACAATATCTTTTGAATGATAAAAAAATTCCGTCAAAAAAGGCTAGTTGAAAAGTCGAAATGTGTCTGAAGAAAAAACCCACCCCGAGCAAATATTCCGTTACTTTCGTTACGAAAGTCGGAACAAAAACATACTTTTCACAATGCACGTAGCAGCTATTTTATTTTTGCCTAATTTAGGAGAGTACTCGACTAAAACTTCGATCAAAGGAACGCAAGAAAACGCTTGATTACCATCTGGTTGCTTGCAAATGCCAATAAATCTATTGACACACGACATCAAAGAACAACGGTAACATTTTTTTTCTCATTTTTTCGATTTTCTAAAATAGATGGTTTCAACAAGGACACGTGGCATAAGCAGACCCATGAAAACAGATTCCTAAGTGCTTTTGTAATTCCAAAGGGCGAAGAAGGTTTAATAATGGTTAGATTTACGATTCAAGTCGTATTTGAATTTGCAACCGGCCTTTCTAAACTGCAGACTTGTCTTAAAATAGAGACTTCTACCAATTAGTTTTCATGTGCTTGTCAATTCTCCACGCTTGTGGTTCTTGGAAGTAATGACATTTCACTTTGACAGGTTAACCACTGCAAGAGGGGCATATTGACATTTATTTCTATCAATTGAGGTCAATCTGTTCCGAGTATTTTAAGGAAAAGTGCGCAACCTAAAAAATTTTTTTTTAAATCATTGACGCATACATTTTTTTCCAAATAGCTCAGACACCTTAGTATTGGCTAGTCAACAACTCTTTCGTCTAGTTAACAAATTTTTTATTTCGTGTAATTAGAGAGAGAAAGTAATTAAATTCCGCTTCAGGTATGAAATGATAATTTGGAGCAGGACGCTTTGCCGGAAACAAGTGAAAAATAATACATAACATTGCTTTAGGTTTTTAGCTTCGTACTTCTTATGATTTTTTTTGGATTCAGACTAAAGTAAAGACTATTCTGCCTAAAAAAGATTAGTCTCGAAGAAAACTATCTATTTGCGGTGCCTTTAATTTTTTTAAAGGCAGTGGGCGTCAATACTAATAAATTTGAAAGGAAAGCACGGGCTGGAAAAAAAAACACTTTTGGTCAAAAGTTTCCAATTAAATAGAAAAAACAACCTTTTTAATGTCACAATTTATCCAACTCTCTCTGTAAGGGCAGATGAAAACAGATATCTCATTTAAAAAGATGTTTTTTTTAAGATCCACTCAATTAAAAATACCCACCCCCCCCCCCCCCCCCCCTGATAGCATTCTAAGCACTTATTTTTCGAGCTCTCCCAAAACACTAAAAACACCCTGTTTTGGCCAAATTCTGAAAAACAGGAAATTCTGAACAATCTGGAAAATTTTCAAGGCGCCTTAAGATTAATTTTAGGGTCCGTCAGTCAAAAATGGATATCCCCAGTACATATGGGGAACCCTTTGGCTCGGCAGGGATTCAAAACTACCCCCCCCCCCCCCAAAAAAAATCCGCTGGTGACTCTAAGTGAACTATTTCGTGAAAAAAAAACAAATCAAAGGTTCCTGTAAACGAGGAAATCAGTTCACAACAGTAAACTTTTTACTATACTTTGAACCACTTTTTTACTAACTAGCAAAAAATTTCCACGGTAAGAACTTTTCATTTGGTAAACCATGTTTTCGGATAGTTTAAAAGAAGAGCGCACAGCAAGAGACACGAAATTAATTTACGCAGACCCTCGATAATGTAAACCTCAATCACAATATTTTGTCACTGCGAAAATCATTACTCCGCCTCATAATTAATTTTGTTGCTGTATTTGTTCAATGAGATGCAAAGTCAGCCGTCAATTAGAAGAAAAAAGACAAATTAGCGGTAAGTTTAACAAAAAAATGCCCCGCAGTCCGTTACCCAAATATCTTCATCATTTATATAATTATCCCCGTCAATTTTTCCCCCAGTAATCAATACACCAACCCTCTGCTTCCCCAATGAGTTCCCCAATCAGTAACCCAATTATCCTCTTCACTTCCTTATCCCAGCAACTAATTCACCAACGTCAGGGTCAAGGTTCGATGGGTATTGTTCATGTTAGTCTAGACTGCCAAAAAAACTAATCTAATTTCTAAATTTGCTTATTAACTAAACTTAACGTTCTAAATGGCAACCCGTTTGGAGTTTTCTGCTTTTTCTCTGATTGTAAGTTTTTAATTTTGAATCCATGCTAAACCAATCATGTTTATTGTAAACATTGACTGTTTTTACAAGTCATACAGATTTTATAGGAGATAGAGAAAAATTCACAAAAACACATTTTTTATTCCTAACGTTCTATTAGGTAGGACCAGGAAATAAGAATAGGATTAAGATCACTACCGGACTAAAAAGGAGCACGAATCTATTTGGCTGAAAATATATAGCAAGACATACAGAGGCCGTGTACTCAGCGATTAGAAATTTCTCTGAGAGGTAGAGTCTGAAACGGACCTCAATAATAGGCGAGATTGTTCAATTTTGAATTAGGTTACCAAAAAAAAACAGGTTTCATAAATCAGGGTAAAATTTATATTGTTCATTTTGATATATGTTTCAAACAAAAACCTACTTTTATCGGTTTTATTTAATTACTTCGATCAAAATATGCAGTTTTATTAGAGGTGAAAAACACATCTATGACTTTTTTCTGAAACTACCTTTTATAAATTTTGATGATTTTTAATTTTTTGTTTTTGAGATAAGTTAAGACTAAATATATTTTTTGTTGATTTCTATTACATTTCTTTGTGGATTTTAAAGTAATTTTAAAATTGAAGTAATTATTTTTCTATGTTTTCTTATTAAGCAATGTGTTTTACCAGTATTTGAATAAAATACATGCCTCGAGTTGAAGTGTTTAATTTAGTCGACCATTTCAACCATCAGATAATACAAAAACGATAAAAATTCTTCTTTCGCGTCAAATGGATTAAAATTTAATTGTTTCAATTTTGACTGGAACTTAAAAGTTTGATTAATCAAGAAAGCTAATGTTCCCTTTGCAGAGATGATTGTTTTTTAAAAGTTTTGTTTGTTGGAATTGAAAAAATCATAGCAGCTCTAAATGAACACATCGATTGCATTGATGTGTCCTTAATTGTGCCTTTAGCGGCAACTAATAATTTAGCTTTTTTCCATTCACCAGGGCACCAGACTCATTTTCAAGCAGTTAAAAAGTGATATATTAAAAAAAGTTTGTGCCCCTACTTCCGTTTTATAGAAGATGAATTCAGCATATTCTGAAACAAGCCGTACGCTCGGAAAATCGAAAAAACAGGCCATGTGATCTTTTGATGACCTCTAGGGCTTAAAAGTGGCTCTATGTTCTACAAACGGTTTTGTCTGCAATTTTGGTTATAATTTTTTCTACCTAGTTTTGATGGTATCAAAAACTCAACAAAAACCAATGAAAAATGACTTCCGAATTAATTTTAATTTTGATTAATTTTTTTTGAATACTTTTACCGTTAAAAGTTTAACAATGAACTAAG